GTTGTCTTTTTTTTTTTTTTTTTGTGGTACCGGGGATCGAACTCGGGTCCTTGCACTTGCGAGGCAGACCACCGAATCGCTGAGCTAAATCCCTGGCCCGCTGGATTGCATTTTTACATTTAGTTTAAGGTGCTAGTGCAAGTTTGGGGAGAGGAAATGCACAGACAAATGAAAGGAAAGACTTCCCTCGCGAAGCAGTTCCAAAGACATGTACAGTCCCTGTAAGTCTTGAGGAAAGGGATTATTACTTTGAAAGTTCTGGGTGACCACAGTGATTATCTGAGTTCCACCTGGACCTTATTACTGTCCCCTTTCACTTCCAAGTGACATGATGTGGTGAGAAGACAGACACGGATTCCCTGGACTGAGGTATTCTAGACATAGCCTCACCATTTGGAGTCTGTTCCCTTATCACACCTAGCCTTAGAGGTCTCAGTAATACAGGAGACATTTAGCAAAACTCCAAACGCAAACTTTTACTGGGAACCCTCACAGGCACCTATACTTCCAGCTAACTCAGCTGCCTAGGGGCTGAAGCAGAAGACCCGCCTTTGAGCCCAGGAGTTGGAGGCCAGATTAGGCAAGAAAGATAGTAGTGAAACTCTGTCTCCTTTTATTCTTTTCTTTTCTTTTCTTTTTTTTTTTTTTTTGAGACAAGGTCTCACTATGTGCCCAGTTGTCCTTCAACTACCAGGCTCAAGTGATCTTCCTGTTGTGGCCTTCCAAGTGCTGGGACTGTAGATGTATGGGACCCAACAGGACCTTGTTGCTTTAAAAAAAAAAAAAAAAAAAAAAAAACTTTCCAGGGTTGTGGATTTAGCTCAGTGGTTCTGCGCCCTGCCTCACTAGTATAAGACCCCAAGTTCGATCACTGGTACCAAAAAAAAAAAAAAAAAAAAAAAAAAACTTTCCAGTGTGAGAGAAGGATCATCTATAGTTGGGCCTCAGCAGACAGACTAAGGACTGCTTGCCTAGTGACTGCAGGTCAGCAAGTACTGTGAAGACCCAGCTTGCAGTGACATCAGGAAGAAAACTTTTCCTTATTTACCTCACTGCAGCAGAACAATGATTTCTCTCAAGTCTGGCGGTGGGGGGTCCTCACTTACATTATGAGGCATTGCAACTTCTCTTTGCTGCTATTTTATATTCCAGGGAGAAGTAGAAAGCAAAGTCAAGAAAGCTTCAGTAGAATGTTAATAATCATTAGAGTGGGCTGATGGGTCTACTTCTCTGTTCATGTTGTATGTATTTCCTACATTACGGGAGGGGAGTGCAAGGGCCAGTCAGAGGGCCCCAAGCAATGAAGTTGGCCTCAGCTATATTAAATTCAACTCTGTAGAGAAGGAAGTTTGGAAAAGTCCTTCTTTGAGGCCCATCCTCTCTTCCCTACCTCTTTCTCTTCCAGATAGATGATCCCAAGGCGCAGGAAGATGAAGTGCATCTCAGAAGCATCCACTACAAAACTAACAGTTCGTTCATAGCATGCCTTGGCCTCAGCATGATTTCCACTCAGAAAACAAAGATGGCCCCTCAGGCCCCAGACATTAGGATTCTGTGAAAACACAGAACAATTAGTACATGGAATGACACAGAATTTAAAAGTAGGGTAAAGGCCTTTGTTTAACATTTACATTAAGATTAGTAAATTTCCTTTTTCTAAGAGCACTCAGATGCTGGGTGTGGTGGTGCACACCTGTAATCGCAGCACTCAGAGGCTGAGGCAGGCGGATCACTGTGAGTTCGAGACCAGCCTGGGCTACATAGTGAGTTCCAGGTCAGTCTCAACTACATAGTGAGACCCTGTCTCAAAAAAAACAAAACAAAAAAACAAAACAAAACAAAAAAACACTCAGAAAGTGGGTCATTTGCTCCGGGGGTATTTTTCTAGGTCTTCCTTCTCATTTCTTTCTTGCATTCTTTGAAGCCATTTTGTCTTTGAGGTGAATATTAAGAAAAACATTCAAGTACAACCAGGATAATACTCACAAGGAGAAAAGGGAAATCTGGAAAACTTGAAATAGATGAACACTATCTGCTAAAAAGCGGTCCTTATCCTTTTCTCTGCCTTTTGCAAAACTGGTGGTTACTGGGACCGAGGATTTGGCTCAGTGGTTCTGCCGCCTGCCTTGCAAGTGCAAGGGCCTGAGTTTGATCCCCGTACAAAAAACAAACAAACAAACAAAACCTCATGATTACTTAAGAAAAACAAATAAAGGATACAGATAGTCACCCCTGGTTATCAGCAATCAATCTGTAATATAGCACCGTGACTTTCTTTTTTTTGAGCTGTCAGTCTCACTATGTTGCCCAGGTTGGCCCCAAAATCCTGGGCTGTGGATCTTACCGCCTCAGCTTCTCAAGTAGCTGGAATGAGAGCCATGTGCCTCTGTGTCCAGGTGGCACTATTGCTTTTAATAAAGCCTTCCCTTCTTCCACTCAAGGGGTTCTAGCAAGAGTCATTACCAGGTAATCCATCTGGGCTGCTTCCTGAAGGTATTTCTCAGCCTGGGCAAAGTCCTTCTTGAGAAGGTGTGTCTGCGCTAGAACCAAGTAATACTCACAGCTGGGTCCTCCTTGAGGGCACAACAGCTCGTGTGCAAGCACTCTGTGCACGTACTGTGAAGAAACGGGAGCATAAGGAGCATGGAAATGCCTGCACTGCATTCAACCCACAGCCTTCAGGGCTGAAGGGTTCTGTCTTTGACGATACCTAACAAGAAACATCTTACAGAATGAAACTACTGTCCTCAACTTCAAAGTGTTGGGGTGAATTACATTTAGCACTTCATGTCCTACCACTAGCTTATTCACTTAGTCACCCAACGTGAACATTTCCACCTAAACAGAAAAACAGAATGCAACACAGCTCTAGTCTTGCTGGCCATCATACTCGATGAGTTAGTTAGGTTGTGGTTGGTTTTTTGTTTTTAGGTTTTTTTGAGACAGGGTCTCACTGTGTAGTTGAGACTGACCTGGAACTCACTATGTAGCCCACGCTGGTCTCGAACTCACAGCGGTCCTCCTGCCTCAGCCTCCTGAGTGCTGGGATTACATGCGTGCACCACCACACCTGGCTAGGTTGCGTTTATTAGGCAGTAGATGAAGGCACTTCATCAGCCACCATTTTGTACCCCGTTTGCACATGAGCATTTGCAGACAGCTGCCACTGTAAAAACTCTAGGCTCACAATCTTAGAAACACAAACACATGTTTCTGCCATACCTCCAAACATTATGTTTACCAGTTTTCTATTGGGGAATATTCTTCATTTTGTCCACTTTGAAAAGGCTGTAACTTAGACAAAGTCAGATGTACTTGCTAGGCAGAGGGCCTTTTATTCTTAGTCCGTTCCCAACTCAGCCTATGATATAGGAAAATACTGGAGGCAGTGACTGCAACTGTTCTCTCCTCTGCCTTCTGGCTCTCTGCCTGGGACTCAGGTCTGAACTTACTTCATTGCAGAGAGAGAGCTTGTTTCTGTTGGAAAGGGTTAAAGTGTGAAGGGCCCTGCTCAGTGCAGCCCAGGTCATCATTCTTACCCTTTCCTGAGCTTGCCCGCCCTCAAGGCGGACTTGTGCTCTGTAGGGCCAGGGCCGATTCTCTTGGTTCCTGGATTTTGCTGTCACCCCTCCCATGTCTTGTTTCCCACATGGCAGACATGCCCCGGAGATATGCTTCTCTGAGAACAGGCCACAGTTGCCCAGCTGCTCCTCCTGTGACTGCACAGGTAAGTCAGATGTGGGACCCAGTGACATTCTCTGGCCCGGTTTGTTTCAGTACTGGGGATTGAACCCAGGGCCTTTGCACTGAGCTATATCCCCAGCTTTTTAAAAATTTTTATTTTGAGATAGGGTCTGACTATGTGGCTAAGTTGCCCAGGCTGGGCTTCAACTTGTGGTCCCAGAGTGCTGGGATTACAGGCTTGTGCCACCATGCTACAGCACAGTTTTACCTATAAAATTAATTAATCTAAGCCTCCCCCAAAGCATTGAGTTTTAAACTGGTCAGCCTGGAGGGGAAGGAGGATATGACTGGGCTCCTGTAAACCCCCAACGCTCATGTGATATAAGTTCCTGTAAGAAAGTGGTATGAGGCTGCATATGACCTAGAGCCTGATTTTGCTCTGTGGGTAACCTACAGGGAGAAAGCTTGCAGTGATGTCTGCTGACACCGTCTGCAGAGAGATTATACCTATTTGGATATTCTTCTCATTAGGGTTACGGGGTACTCCGAAAGGTGTATTTGAAGCGCCGGAGTACAGCTCAGTGATGAAGTGTGTGCTCAGCATGCACAAGACTCTGGATTCAATGGGCAGCATTAAAAAAGTACATGTGACTTCTTGTCAAAGATACCACTGTGGACAGAATACGTAGTTCGCTAAAGTATTTCCGTCTGTGGTGCCTTTCCAAATATCCTCACCTGCACAGCATTGACTTTCATCAAGAAGCGTACGGTCTCCATGAAGATGGTGACAGGAGTTTGGGAAATGCCATAATGAGGGGTGGGATGTGGAAAGGGTGATGGATCTTGACATTTTGATGCTTCTGAAAATATTATATGAAAAGGATAGAAGATGAGATGTAAAGGAAACAACGGCAGACACTCAGGCACACTAGTGTAGCCAGGAGAGTATTCTGATACAATATATGACAAGGATCACATTGTGGAAAACAACAGGAGGCCTCCAGCAGTACCCCCACAAAGAGAACTCAGAAGTTCTTAAGGTAAATCTACTGTTGGATCAAAATAAGTCACAACCGAATGGAAAGTTTAAAAAAGTATTCAGATCCCCTTGACTGTGAAACACAATTTATTGTTATTCTAAAAATGAAGACTCATTGGAAAGTCATAGGCCTTTTGTTGGGTACTTCTATGACTTAATCATCAAGTCTTTTGCTTATTGAAAGAGTTACATGACTGAGTTTGGAATTTCAGAGACTAATTGGAAGGAATGTAGTTAATATTAATTCAAACAAGTTTGGATTTCCACTTTCATAATCATGAATTTTGTCCTTGTCAAATTAGTTTGTGCCCCGGTCCGAGTGGAAATCTTGATATCTAGTTACCTTTCTTGGCTGGTATCTCCTTGAAAGCCATTGTGGATAGTTTTGGTCCAATACTTGAATCCTGATATTGTGTAGTTAGTATAGGCTCCTGTGACTCAGACTGCAGTTTGGGAGAATCTTCAAGAACCTTATCAACAGTAGAAAATACTGCTCCAGATCCTAAACAGATTAAATTTTGATAGGGAAAAATCTTCCTACCTTAAGTATTAGCATTTGCAAATCATACTCCCCATATACTACATGAAGGACAGACTTGTTTGATAGCCTCAAAAAATTAGACTCCCCCCAAAATAAAAGACCCAATTAAAAAATGGGCAACTAAAATGAACAAATACTTCTCAGAAGAAAAAATACAAGGCCAGGGATTTAGCTCAGTGGTTCCACCGCCTGCCTTGCAAGCGCAAGGACCTGAGTTCGATCCCCAGAGTAAGGCGCGCCGGGGATTTAGCTCAACGGTTCGGTGGCCCGCCTTGCAAGCAAGGACCTGAGTTCGATCCCCAGTACCAAAAAATAAAAAATAAAATAGAAGAAGAAATACAAATGCCAATAAATAAATGAAAAAATAGTCAACATCTCTGGCCATTACAGAAATGCAAATTAAAACAACACTGAGATTCCACCTTATTCTGGAAAGAATGGCCACCTCAGGAAGTAGTAACAAATTCTGGAGAAGCTGTGGGAATAAAAGGAACCCTTCCACATTGTTGGTAGGAATGTAAACTAGAAAAACCACTATAGAAATCAATACGGAGATTCCTCAAAGAACTAAAACTAAAAATTCCATTGATCCAGCTCTTTCTCTACTAGGTATCTTCCAAAAAGAGTTAAAGACATCACATTGCAGTGATGCATGTTTATTTATCAAGTTTATAGCACATCAATTCATAATAGCTAAATCTTGGGAGAAGCCTATATGTCCATCAACAGATGAATGGACAAATAAAATGTGGTATTTACAAGTGATAGGTTATTACTGTGCTATAAAAAAGCATAAACTTGAGTTGTTGTAGGAAAATGGGTATACCTTGAGACCATATATATATATATTGGGGAGGGTACTGGGATCGAACTCAGGACCTTGTGCTTGCAAGGCAAGTGGTAGAACCACTGAGCTAAATCCCCGGCCCTTGAGAACATAATGTTAAGTGAAATAAATGAGATGCACGAGTTTAAACGTCACATGCTTTTCTTAAGTGAGAAAGCCAAAATATAAATAAAGTACAAAATAAAAGACAGACAATAAAGAAAAGAAGAGAAAAAAGTTACTGTAATCCAGCATGGCCAATGTATCAAAAATGTGTATCTTGATTCAGTATAATTGCTTCTGTGTCTTATAGGTTTTGGGTCTGTTAGTCTGGCTGGTAATCTATGTTTATGATAATTGATAAAGACTTAAATAAATCTGATGCTGGCAAAAATAAAAAGATGTGCTATGTATATTTAAAAACTCCCCACAATGAATGTAATCATTATGTTTTGTTTTGTTTTGGGTTTTTTTGTTCTTGTTGTTTTTTGACACAGGGTCTCACTATGTAGTTGAGACTGACCTGGAACTCACTATGTAGCCCAGGCTGGTCTTGAACTCACAGTGATCCTCCTGCCTCAGCCTCCCGAGCGCTGGGATTACAGACGTGTGCCACCACACATGGCCTGAATGTAATCATTATGTATTGCAAACATGTACTAATAAAAATAAAAATTTAAAAAAGAAAATATGTTTATATACAATGGAATACCACTCTGTCATAAAGAAGGGTAAACAAATAATTTGTAGGAAAATGGAAACACCTTGAGACAATAATGTTAAGTGAAATAAATCAGATATACAAGCTTAATTATCTCATGGTCTCCCTCATATGAGAAACTCATGGTATAAATAAAGAGCAAAATAAAAGACAGATAAGAAATAGGGAGGCCTCTCTGAGCTACCTAGCTCAGGGAGTGCTGTCTGTCCAGGCTAATAAGAGTCTGTTTACCATCTAAAAAAAAAAGAAAAGAAAAAGAAATAGGGAGATAGAAGATTTGCAAATTGGAAGGGGACCGAGTGATAGAGGAAGGGGAAAGGAATAAAAAAACAATTAAGATGTATTATGTACATGTACCAACTCACCACGAAGAATGTGATCATTATATTATGTTCTACAAATATGTACTAGTAAAAAAATACATTTAGGCCAAAGGGAAAAATAAAGCAGCAATAATTAAAATTGTAGTTAAATAAGATAATAGATGGCAATGGTATCTATAAACAATTATAAATTACTTTAAACAGAGTCCCATTGAGGAAAATGTTAAAACATTACTAACATAGAAGATGATCTTAGAAAATGGAGAAACCTTCCACATACTTGAATTGGATGGATCAATAATATAAAATTATTAACTATCCCTAAATTAACCCATATTTAAAAATAGTACAAATAAAAATTTCAGTTATATTTTTAACATATATTTGATAAAACTCACTATAAAATCTCTGTGGACAAATAAGGGCCCAAGAATAGCTAAAAAAGCTATTAAAAAAGCCATTTGGTGGGGAATCTGATATACTAGATATTAAGGCACACTACGAACCAGAACAGTAAAAGGGTACACATGTCACCCTCCTTTTTCTTTTTCTTTCTTTTTTTTTGGTGCCAGGGATCCAACTTGGGACCTTGTTCTTGTTGGGCAGGCAAGGTCACCACTGAGCTAAATCCTCAGCCCTCCAGCCCTCCTTTTTCATATTTATATCAGACAATTACAATAGATTGAAGAGTTCAAGGTTTAAGGTCTATACTTTTTTTTTTTTTTGGTACCAGGAATCGAACTCGGGCCGTCAGCTTGCAGGGTAGGCAGCAGAACCACTGAGCTAAATCCCCAGCCCTAAATTCTATACTTTTAACCAAAGTGGAAATAGTGGTTGTTCAGGAGATAAGGCTGAGAAAAAAATGGGTCCGGAGAAACATAAAACCGAATGTCAACTTAGTACCTTGTTCAAAAATGGAATCTCTATAGACTAAAGATCTAAATGTGAAAGGGCTAGGGATTGAGCTCAGTGGTGCCACCGCCTGCCTCGCAAGTGAAATGTCCTGAGTTCGATCTCTGATGCCAAAAAAAAAAAATAGTAATAATAATAATTTTTAAATGATTCAAACTATACAAAGTGTATTTTCTAACCACAATGGCATTAAATTAGAAACGTAAAACAAAGATATCGGGGGGGGACCCAAATATTTAGAAAATTAAAACCACCTGGCTAAATAATCCCTGGTCTTAGCCATTTAACTCCTAAATTTTTACCCAAGAAAAATGAAAGCATATATCTACATATAAACTTATAAATCTTATTGATCGATGTCCATGGTGGCTTTATTTCAATAATCTCAAGAAATAAACAACCCAAATATCCATCAAAAGATGAATAATAGATAAATTGTGTTACATCCATTCAAGTGGATGCAGTTTAATAATAAAAAGGGATCAATGATGTAAGCAACAGCATAGGTGAATCTCAAAATAATTATTCTTAGGCTGGGGATTTAGCTCAGCGGTTTGATGGCCTGCCTTGCAAGCGCAAGGACCCGAGTTCGATCCCCGATACCAAAAAAAAAAAAATATTCTCAATGAAAAAAAAGTCAAGCAAAACAAGAGTACATGATGTGTAATTCGATTCTAGAAATTCTAAAAAATACTAGAAAAGGCAAATTCATCTAAAGTAACAGTAGGTTGGCGGTCATCTGGAAAAGGAGGCCAGAGGTGAGATTTTCATGGATGGGTCCACGTGCCAAAGTGTATCAAACGAAATACTGAATTCGGTGCAGCTTATGAAATGTCAGTTATGCCTCAAACTTTAAAAATGCATGCACACAAAATAATAATGCACATATATGCAAGGTGCACACTGACAAAAGCACACATATTAAATACATTGGCATGAATGATTTCCTAAAGTAGAGGAAAGGAAAATAGCAATGAAGAACAGTGAGAAAAGGGTGCATCAGCAAACAATGAATTTAAGAACTACAAGATAGGAACTTTCCACGGTGGGGAGGAGGCGACGGTAAAAGAAAATCAGTCTAGAATTGTATCCCCTTTTTAAGGGATACTTAGGAGGGTGGTAAATTCTGTAAGATTCAAAAAATAGCATTAACAGAAGCTTCTGTTGTTGTTGCTGTTATTATTATTATTATTATTATTATTTTATTTATTTTTATTTTTTGGTACTGGGGATCAAACTTGGAACCTCGCACTTGTGAGGGAGGCAGCAGCACCACTGAGCTAAATCCCTGGCCCTGGTCATGATCTTCTGAATGAAGAAATATTTAGAAATCTATCCTGATAGCCCTGAAATAACTAAAACTCTAGTGCTCATGCATTTAGCGAATGTTTACTTCGTGCCTACTTTGCGCCAGGTCCTACCCACAAGGCCAATAAGTTTCTCAACAAACACCCACCATCTCCACTCCCCGTTCCTACCTTGTGGGGCCTCCACCTTGAGAACTGTTACAGAAGCATCCTTTGTGGTTCCCCAAGTACCGAAATTAGGTTCTGTTTTCCTTCCTTCTTCAGTATCTTCAATAGTACCAGTGCTCTTTTGCTTCATTACTTGTGCTTGAAACATTTGTGCCTGAAGCTGTTTGGAGGCCTCGTGAAATGCCATCTCCATTCGAATATCATTGTTTTGAATTTCGTAGTATAAACCTGAGGAAGGAGAGATGTTGAAATGAGTATGACTAATTTTCTATGAACACATAATGAGAAATTGCAACATTTCACTTATTTTTCCCATAGTTTTACCAAAGTTTTAGAACCACATTGTCAACCACCGAAGAGTAGTAGAGGAGAGAATTTTTTTGACAAGTTTCAGGCTAACCTTGAACTCACTATGTGCCCGGGGTGGCCTTGAACTCATGGAGATCCTCCTGCCTCTGCCTCCTGAGTGCTAGAGGGAAGAAAGTCTTATTATGGAAAAAAATGCTATCACAGGAAAATAACGTACCAAGTAGAGTCCAGGCTACAACATTGGTTGGATCTAAGCAAGTGGCATCCTCAAAGAAAATTTCTGCTTGCTCATAGTTCTCCATCAAGACAGCCAGGACACCACACAGCAACAGGCTGAGAAGAGATGGCCAACATGGTTAACAGAATGGGCTCATGCCACATTCATGGAAGCAAGACAATTTCATGCAGAAGTTTACTGCTAATCTCCCTTCCACTTCTACCTGTGGATATGACTCTCATTCAAGGACAGAGCTTTCCGAAAACACTCTTGTGCTTTGATGTTGTCTTCAGTTAAGAGGCAGAAGGCACCATAATCCAGCCAGTGCTCCAGGTTCTGGGGCTCATGGACCAACCTCTAGACACGCAAAACATCGGGAGGGCCAAGGTTATTGCAGCTCTGTGTCTTGCTTTTTGCACATATAATGTCACACCGGAGTCCCTAGACAGACACTGAGTTCTATGAAGGCAGAAGCCAGGACTTCTTTGCTTACTCTGGAATCCCAAAAGCCTAGTGCTGTTTTGTTCTAGATTTTAGAAGGTGGTAAAAAATTGTTGAAATAATTGAAAAATAGAATTCTCGAGCCATTTCTTTCCAATGTGTGGTTACCAAAATTCAGCTTGGGTGGGGATTTAGCTCAGTGGTGTCACCACCCGCACCGCATCCTAAGCAGAACGTCCTGAGTTCAATCCCCGGAAGCAAAGGAAAAAACAAACAAAATTCAGCCCATACTTTAGCAGCCTAAAAAATTCACTTCATGTCCTGTCAACTATATGTAATAATTTCTGCCATAATCTCTAGATGGCAATCATGAGTTTATCTACAAGTCTAAGGTGGAAAGAAGGTGCTCTTTCTAAGTGAAAACTACAAAAATTGGGATAAAGAAATTAAAGAAGACATAAAAGAGTGGAAAGACTCCATCTTTATGATTTAATATTGTTAAGATGTCAATACTACTGAAAGCAATCTACAAGTGCAGTGAAATCCCCAATAAAAATCCTTAAAAAGTTAAAACACAGTTTTACCACATCCCAGTAATTTCTATCTTTGATATATAACCTAAATAATTTAAAACAGGTACTGAAACAAATCCTTATCCACAAATATAATTTTCTTTTAATTCATTTTCAATTATTTTTTATTAGTACATGTTTGTAGTACATAACGATTGCATTCCCTTTGGGGAGCTGGTACATACACACTACACATACAAATGTTGTTATGAGGGCTCTTTATAAAAAAGCAGAAGGTCCCGACTTTGGTCTCTAGTACTAAAAAAAAAAATATATATAACCTGTACTTTTTCTTTTCCTGTCTTTTGTGGAGCACAAGTTTTTTTATTTTGATGAAGTTCTATGTAGCACATTTTTCTTTGGTCTTTGGTCTCAGGTCTAAGAACTCCATCTCCAGGTCAAGGAGATTTTCTCCCATGTTTCTTCTCAAAGTTTTATAGCTTCATGTTTTACATTTAGATTTATTATCCATTTGGAGCTCATTTTTATAAAATGTTTAAGATTGGGTTAAGGTTCATATATTTTGCAAATATATAACCAGTTTTTCTAACACAATTTGTTGAAAAGACCATCTTGTCACCACTGAATTTCTTTTATGCTTTTATCAAAAATCAAATGACCTTGGGCCGGGGATTTAGCTCGCTGGTTCTGCTGCCTGCCTCGCAAGTGCAAGGTCCCGAGTTCGATGCCCGGTACCCCCAAACAACAACAACAACAAAACAAAACAAATGATCTCAGGTTGTGTGACTTAGATTTTTGTGCGGCAGATTTTTGGACTCTGTTCTACTGATGGATGCACTTCATCAATCAAGTCTGATTTTAAACAATCAAAACTACTATTTATTGGACCTATAGTTCACAAAAAGTAGGAACGACAACCACGGGGAAGATGTTTACCTCTTCATAGTACACTGCTGCCGCGTCAAAGTCCTCACTGACTTCTGCTTCAAATGCGAAGAGGCGAAGCTGCTCGCTGCTGGTAGGGACGGCTGCAGCAGAGCCCGGGACTTCATCCGGCATAGTCTTGTCAATGTCAAACGGAATGAGGAAATTACTAGGGGAAAGGTTTGCGAGAATAAACCAAGCAAAAGCCCAGTCAAAACCAAGAGAGAAGTATCAAGGGTAGGACAGAAGCTCGGATATTTCAATAACAAAAATCTGAGCTCCTGGAAGTGAATAAAAATGGCTCAAGGCAGAAACAACTCTCCTCAACCTTGAAAGTAGCCAGAGTCCCTCCACAAGTCACCTCTGACTCAAACAGCTTTCTTCATGCTCACCAGTGCACAAGACAAACATTAGCATGTTTCAGATGGCGTGATTTGAAAAAGGTTGGCGAACACTAGCTAGAGTACGTATAGTTTTTTTTTTTTTTTTTTAAATAGTCTTGCGGGTTGGGGATTTAGCTCAGTGGTGCCGCCGCTTGCCTTGCAAGAGCAAGGACCCTAGTTCAATCCCCGGTACCAAAAAATAAAAATAAATAAATAAAATAAAAATGGTTGTATGTGATCAATATGTATGACAAACATGTACTAATAAAAAACTTTAAAATGGTATCAGACAGAATGGGAAAGTAAAGCCAAATTTGAGACAAGCCAGAGAGTACTTTTCAGAAGTGATTACTGCCTCTGTTCTGTTTTGTTGCTGTTGTTGTTTGGTTTTGATGATCATAACCCCTAAGTGCCTATGGCCTCGTACTTCTACACCAAAACCGGAAATACTCTGCCTGTATCTAATAACCCGCTCCCTGAACCTACGTCCCAAGCCTTCCACCATTTTGTCACATAGCTCACTTAAAACAGCTCAGCTTCGCTCCCACCGTTCCCCAAATGATCAGCTTGGATGGCGGGATTCCCCACCTACCTACCTGTACTCCTCTCCCGTGAGGACCCTCACGTCTCAGGAACCCTTGTGCTGAAAACTCCCAAAGTAAAAGCAATCTGACTTCATTCTTTAACAGGTGAAGCTAACCAGTCCTAACAAAAACTGAATTAGGGCCGGGGATCTGGCTCAGTGGTGCCGCTGCCTTGCGAGCAAAAGGTCCTGAGTTCCATCCCCGAAACCAAAACAAAACAAAACAAAAAACTGAACCAAACACAGAGATATGTGAGCCCTCACAGACTCTGTGGCCTTCAGCCTTAGCCAAAAATGCTGAACAGTCTCAGTCATCTCTATCTTTGTCTTTGTTTAGCAGAGCATTCCATATGCAGCGTGGTATCTAAATTTTTCTTCTCCAAGCTTTTCGTTCAACCTTTATCCCCTTCGTTTGCAATAAAGACCTTATGTCACAGAGGTAATAGAGATCATTAGACAAAAAACTCTCCCCTTTAAACCCCACACCTAAGTTGTCTGCGTCTATGGTATCTCTTTTCTTTCTGTCTCAGACCAAAAGGCATTGAACGCTTCTCTGCCCCACGGCTAATCCTCCTGCAGAAGTTCGTGAGCTTTTCCGAGCTGTATGCCCTGGGCTTGACGTTGCTGTCTCCTTTCCTCTCCTTCCTCAACTTTGCACTTCTCCCCAAGGTGCTGACTCCTTTTCCCAAACCTGTGGATGTGCTCCAGGTTTTTCCAACCCTGAAAGAAAACTGCTATAGTTTCTAGCTTCCATTTTTTCCCTTCATTCAACTTGTTGAATTTATATTCATCTATTCCCTACTCACATATTAACCCTTCAACTCACTGTGATTTGAATCCTCCACTCTTAGCCCAATAAAGTTGGTGGATAAAGATTTAAAATAGCCTCATTTCTAGACCCAATGAAAACTTCTCAGATTTTGTTTTTCTTGGATTCTTTTGAATTTCTTGACCACTTTTTCTTAAAATTCTTTCCCCTTGCCTCCTGTAACACTAGTGTCTTTGATCTTCTTGCCTTTTAACAATTCCATTTGTCTCCTTTATTGATCCTTTCACTCATCCATTCCTTTGGATGTTGGTGTTTCCTAGGGTTCTCACACTGGCTCACTCCTTCCTCTCGTCCTGTTTTTCTCAGGCAGCCTCACGTAGGTTAGTGGCACACTTATGCATGGCTCCCCAGATCTCACCTCTAGCCCAGATCTCTCTCTCTTTCTCTTGAGAAAAACCCTACTTGGGCTAATGATGTCCAAAGTTTAATTTAACATCACCCGCACCCACCGATTTCACTCATGTTGCGATTCTCGTCCTGGTTAATGTTAACATTCTCAGATGCCGAACATTAAACTTAGGAATCCTGGGCTGGGGATTTAGCTCAGTGGTTCCGGTGCCTACCTGGCAAGCGCAAGGACCTGAGTTCGATCCCCGGTACCACAAAAAAAACAAAACAAAAACTTAGGAATCCTTCACTCCTCTTCCTCTTTGCTGTGCCGTTATCAGCTGATATCACCAGTTTCATCACCTCTAACCAGGGGTCCAAAATGACTACCAGACGGGGGTTTCTTTTTTAATACAATGTAAACCTGATCATAACATTGCCCAATGTAAAATAGTTCCATTTATTGCTCTCAACTGCTAGTGAGAAAAGTCAAACTTCTTATATGGCACACAGGGCCTCCTTCCTTCCCCTCAGCCAAATTCCCTAGTTTCATCTCCCAATTCTCCACCCCGCACCAACTTCAGCTCTGCTCCTGAACTCTGTGCAGTATCTGCATATGCCAGACTCTTCCAAGCTCCTGTACCACAGCACTGTTCCCTGGGATTCACTGCTCTGAAACACCCATCTGGAGAAGAACTTCCTCTTGTCTTTGAAGGCTCAGCTTAAGGCACAGATCCGGTCCCAGCACGAAACAGGTCACTTTTTCTTTAGATAACCCTAACCTGCTCTCCAATGGCCACGTCCCTGTCACATCCCTATCTTGCTCTCTTGTAATCATTTGCGTCTTATGTCTGTTTCCTTCACTAGACAAGGATTCATTTGGAATAGAAGGCAAGAGCGATTCCAAACCCATGCTCGACTCTCAGTTGCTCTCCAAATCAAGTCAGCCGTCCGATCCACCCTCAAGGCAGGCCGTCCTCCGAGTCCCCCAGGAATGGACACACCTGCCCTACTTTTTCTAGGCAGCTGATCCAGGTCACAGAAAGGACGATGGTGGAAGGGAAGAAAAACATCAGTGAAACAAAGAGCAGAGAACAGAGGCTTTGTGGAGGCACAGCTGGTCAGAGACCACCAGGGGTACAAAAGATGGACTTTTGTCATTGTTTTCAAATAAACCACAACTGCGCACATACAAAACCGAGCAGATGAAGGTAAGACCCGAGCTGTGCACATATGGAGACCAGTAGGTAGGCAACAGAGCAGCAACCACAGAAAAAGCACTTTTGAAGTGCCGCTGCCATTTAGGGGTAATATATGAAGACATAACTTTTTTTACTTTTATCAGTACACATCCGCAGTACATAATGATTACATTCACTGTAGGGGACTGGTACATGCACAGAACACATTTCAATTCCTTTCTTTCCCCCTCCCTCCATCCCCTTTTATTTCTCCAGCATCACATTTATTTATAGGACTTTATAAAGTTAATTATTATATATACAGATGGAAAGCCAGGCAAATAGGCTTTAAAAAGCATATAAAACATGTAAGACTGAAAACTCATAATTTTTCTTTGATTTTATCCTCTTGAATGAAAAACTCAGAATTGTGAACATTCACAGAATAATAGTTTTTATTTCACAATTTCCAGCGCCTATTTTATCTTTTTTGACAATTCCATCACATTTTTGCAAATTATAAAATTAATTTTTCTAGGAAATTGAAAGTGCATACCCCTGGTTCTCACCCAAATTAATCTATCTTAGGCAGTTTCTTTTTTTTTTTTTTTTTTTTTTTTTTTTTTTTATAGTTTAGAAAATAACTTCAGATCAGCTCTATATCATCCAAATTACATGGAAGTTTATTATATTATTATTTTGCAGGGGGGGGTGGTTGAGACAGTGTCTCACTATTTAGTTGAGACTGAACTAGAACTACGTAGCCCAGGCTGGTCTCGAACTCACAGCAATCCTCCTGCCTCAGCCTCCCGAGTACTGGGATTACAGGCGTGCGCCACCATGCCCGGTTCTTAGGCAGTTTCTTACCTTTGTGTTTTCAGTGCCTAGCATGAGTAGACATCTTAATAAATGTTTTATGAGGGCCGGGGATTTAGCTCAGTGGTGCCACTGCCTGCCTCACAAGTGCAAGGTCCCAAGTTTGATCCCCGGTACCAAAAAATAAAATAAATATCTTATGAGTAAAGGAAAAAGAGAAGCAAAGACGGGAGTAATTCAAGGGAGACCTTGTTGCTCTCCAGATAAAAGAAAGAGCTCTTGGTTCACCTACCTGATTTAGGGCCACATGCATCTGATCAACCAAGAACACATAAAGCTCACTGATAAATGCCTGTAGTTCCTCCTGACTTTCAAATGATGTTGTCTTCAAATATTTCTCTCTCACGATCTTTACCACAGCATGCTGCAAGGTACACACACATTACCCTTCAGATAACACAGAACAGCACCACCCTGATAGCTCAGATCTCTAGAGGACTTTTGTCCAAGGCTTATCAAAACCAGACGGCGATTAGTTCCCCCTCTGGTGACAGCTAGACTCTCAGTTTTCTGGTAACTCTCTCAGGCAACGTGCTCTCTACGGCTTCCTTCCTTTCCACCATCAAGGAGAGGAGTTATGCAGGATTCCTACCAGGTGAAGAAAGTCAGATGGCTGAAGAAAACCTCAGCATAGGTTTACCCATTCTGTCTCTCACAGCAGCCGCGTGGGTCAAGAGAGACAAGCCCAGGCTGAAAGTCCAGAGAAAGGAATTCTGGTCTAATGCTTCCACGATACAACTTCATAAATTACTCTACACTCTGCTGCCTCTGTCTCATTTGGTAAGTGGATAATAGTAGCTCTAGTAGTATTACCTTACTTTAGAAGATGACTGGAAAGCCAAAGGGAGAAAACAGAAGTAAAGATTACAGTGCTATGTTATATCCCCATTTTCCTCCTTATCCACAGCTTCATTATTTACATGGAAGACTTCAGAACTAAATAATAATATTCTGTTGCGTACCACTCTGCGTAGCATGATGAAATCTCATGCTGCCTGTTCATCCTGCCATGGATGCATTTCCAAACTGTACTGCCACCCATTAACCACCTAACAGCCATCTGGTTATCAGGATGATGGTCTTGGTGTCACAGTTCTTACATCCCACAGCTTTTATTTCACTTAACAATGGCACCAAAGCACAAGAGTAGTGGGATCAGCTGGGCGTGGTGGCGCATGCCTTTAATCCCAGCACTCCGGAGGCTGGGGCAGGAGGATCTCTGTGAGTTCAAGACCAGCCTGGGCTACATAGTGAGTTCCAGGTCAGTCTCAACTACATAGTGAGACCCTGTCTCAAAAAACAAACAAGCAAACAAACAAACAAAAAACCCCAAAAAGTAGCAGGATAATAGTTTGGATATGAGAAGCTATATACTACTCTATTTAAATGAAAAAGTGAGTTTCTTAGGTAGATATAGAAAAAATAGCATATACATAGAGTTTACTTCTCTGCCTGGTCTACTGGGGGTCTTAGAACACTTACCCCACAGCTAAGGATGGAATAACGTATAATCATAACATGTCGCTGTGACCAGGCAGCTTCTTCCTTCTTTTCCTCCCTGATATTATCACCAGATTTTATGCTAAGCTTTTTCCATGCATCCTATGATTTAATTCTCATGGTGATCCCATGAGATAATATTAATGTTACCCCTCATTGTTAGGTCAAGAACCTGAGGTACAGCTATGTGCCCAGTGTCACAACACTACCTACTGAAAATACCTTTTGGTCTCTGTGAGCCTCAGTTGTTTTTCACTTTATTATTTCCCACTTTCCCTTTTGTACCCGTTTACTTTAGGACAGGGCACATACTAACTGCACACAGAGAGGCAGGGTAATACAGCAGCAGTTCTGGTGCCGGGCTGCTTGGATTTACATCCCGCCTTTGACTTTTACTGTCTGTGTGACCTTGGGTAAATTACTTAACCAACTAATTTTGCATTTCCCATCTATAGAATGGGAGATGGATAGTATCTACCTCATAAGGGTGTTGTAAGTACTAAATTAGCAAAATGTGAAGCATTTACAAACTTGCCTGGCATATAGAAAACATTCGATAAATCTTAGCCATTGCTATTATTTAAGAAATTATTACTGAGTAACTTTCTCAAATCTTAGTGATTCTGTGGAGTAGGGGAGAAATTTGGATGGAAGATAGAATTAGTTACAGAATCAGTAACAAAGTTTCTTCCTTCTACAGCAACAAAACACTTTATCCAAAATCTAGCCCAAGTGAAAATTAATTTCTTATAAATGCACACTCAGAATGCATCATAAGCCATTCCAAGACTGTAGGAGTGGGGCTTTTACTGATAATCTGCCACAGAGAACTTAGCTGAAGATAAGCAGTGGGGGAAAAAACTGGAAGTGAGTATGTGGAGAATGTGCTTCCTAAAAACCTATAATTAAATCCATAAATGTTTTACCTTGAGTTGTTCTTTGAAAGCAAAGTATTTTCCGGAGCAGTTAAGCTCATAGCTAAGCTGGCACTTCTGCTCCTCCAGGGTTTCGCTGTCTATTTCATTCCCCAGTTTGGCCACCTGCTTTCCAAACATTTTGTGGTACTCATCTAGAATTGCTCTAGAAATGTTCTTGATTTGTGTGTGGTAGTCGCTCACCGCCTAAAATAACACGAAAGTGTCTGAGAAAGAGGCCTCAAAGAGGTCAAGGCTATATAGACTAGAAGTCTAAAACTGAGTTAGGTTTTATGTTCAATAACACTGTAGATAAAAACTGCCCTTTTCTTCCGAGCTCGGAAATCACCAGCCAAAGATTAAATATTGAAGGATATTCATTGTGCACCACAGACCACAAATGGAACCAAGAATGAAAATATACGAAGCTTCCAACAGGTTTTCACTCCTTCCGGAAGACAAACGGAAGGGTCTGTGCCATCTTCAAAGGCATGCACCCAACATCGTTCTGCCCGTAGTTTCGCGACAGCTTGGCACTTGCCTTCTGAGCTCCTCCTGTCCGGCGGGTAAGAGGAGGCCTTGGAGGAATCATTTCTTTGACCCTGTATCAGAAAAAAATATATTTAAGATATATAAAAATGTATTATCTGACAATTTATGCTCTCTTCTATCCCACCTGCAGAGAATCTGGGTAGAGGAGAACTGAAGTGTGTTTCCCCATCGTGCTTGAGCAATGTGCTGTTCTCTCATGAAAAACCCCAGCACACGACTAGACAGACCCAGAAGAAAGAAGCTCCTCAGAGGGTATCTCAGTGGATTTTTGGCTATTTGAGCTCTGGCTTTGCCTGCACTTTTTTTTTTTTAATTGCTATCACGCACAAGTGGCTGCTTGACTAGGGAGCTGGAAGACAAAGAGTATCGTGATTTCAGGGGCGCTCAGTCAAGTCTTTAAAGATTCAGAAATCCGGATGATATAGGCCAGAAAAAGCTTTTTCTTTAGTCTCCACCTAGGATATGACTCTTGGTCATAGTTTGCAGGAGTACAATCACTACAACAATGCTATGAGACTTTAAGGTAAGAACACTCTGTCGCTATCAAACAACTCATGCCAGAACTTCTACCTTCCATTTTCAAGAGATCTAACAAGAACCTGCAAGGGACAAGTTATTATTCTTCTGCCTAATACTTTCAGATTCTGCTAGAGGACATTGTGTTGCCTTCAAGTCCACAGAAAAAACTCACAAATTCAATTTTTTATAGAACCTATCTACCTCTGGAAGTTTAATCTGATTTATTTTGATAGGTGATACATCTACAGGATATGATTTAAAGAATAAAAGAAAATTCTCTAGCCTCCAAATTTTTTCTCCAGACACAATATATTTATTCACTAAAATATATATACGCGAAGTGCCTAAAATACATACTGAGTGGCTCTTGGCCATCACATGGGTTTCTAGGTCTAAGTATAGAACATTAAACAAAATAGATGAAAACTCTGCCCTGCACGGAGCTTATATTCTAGAAGGGAAGACAATAAACAAGATAAATAATTAAGACAAGTATGCTAGTAATATGTGCCACCAAGAAAAATAGTGCAGCAAGGCCAACGGGCCACACTGAGGTTTAAAGGCCACAGGATGGGAGAGCATATTTCACCAGGAAAGGCCTCACTGTGGTGATGACATTTGAGGAAAGACACAGAGAAGTGAAGAAGATATCCACGATAAGAACGCATCAAGTGGTCCCATGTGATGGTACACGCCTGTAGTCCCAGCACTTGAGAGGCTGAGGCGGGAAGATCGCTGGGAGTTCAAGGCCAACCTGGGCTAGTAGTGAATTCAACATAGAAAGACAAGCATTAAGGTCTTCCTGAGAGAACGCGCCCTGTGGGCCAGGTGTGGTGGTGCATACCCATAATCGTACCACTCAGAGGTTGAGGCAGGAGGATTGCTGTGAGTTCAAGTGCAGCCTGAATTGCAGAGCAAAACCCTGTCTCCAAAAAACAAAAACAATCAAACAAAAACAAAAGAAAATGTGCCTGACATGTGTGAGGGATAGCATTTAGGATAAAATCCGGAGCCAAACTATGGCAAAAAGTATTAAAAATGCATTACCAAGGGCTGGGGATTTAGCTCAGCGGTTCTGCCACCTGCCTCGCAAGTGCAAGGTCCCAAGTTCATTCCCCAGCATCAAAAATAAAATAAAATCTGCTAGAAAATGCATTACCAGAAGAAAGGGTTAAAAGATCCATGAATTTCTATTTAAACAACTATTACCAAACTGCTCTCCCATGAGTTGTGCCACTTTATATCCCCCAGTTTGCAACAGAGGGACTGTTTCCAAACATCCTCATCAACAACAGAATGAGTTATTAAACCTTTATGATCTAAAGCAGTACAAAAACAAGGCACTTCAGGGTGGTTTCAATTTGCATTTCTTTTATTATGAAAATAACTGAGCCAAGACAAAACAGGGAATTGAAAAATAAAAGAAAAAAATCAACAAAATTTATGTTTGATCATTAAAAAGGCCAACAAAATTGACAAACCTTTTGTAAGATTAAGATAATGGAGAGAAGACTCAAATTACTGAAACCAGAAATGAAAGTGAGATTTTACTGAGAGAAAAGGGAGAAAATAATACTTTGAATCACTGTATGCCAACAAATTGGTTAACCTAGATGTAATACATAATTTTTTAGTTACACAAGTAAAGCAGGGTGGTACAATATAGAACAGTCTTTAAGAATTACACATATGGAAGTTGGGCGTGGTGGCGCACGCCTGTAATCCCAGCACTGGGAGGCTGAGGAGGATTGCTGTGAGTTCGAGACCAGCCTGGGCTACATAGTGAGTTCCAGGTCAGTCTCAACTACATAGTGAGACCCTGTCTCAAAAAACAAAAAAACGAAACAAAACAAAAATTACACGGGAAAGCTGAGGCTGCGGGCAGGTGAGCAGGGGCAGGCGGACATCTCGCAATCTGGAGAGCGGCTGGGCGGGCAGTCAGGCCGCAGATGTCAGGTGTCTTCTCAGAGCAACGGGGCTCGGAGACTGAGCTGCCGCCGTGATCGGAGGCTTATTCATCTGTAGTCACAGGGGAGGGTGCTCCTCTCCCCGGTCTACTGAGATGACGTTGGGAGGCTTTCGGGCCAGTCGTTGTGCACGGCAGCAGGTGCGCAGGCCCGTCACCAACATCGCTCGCAACCAGCTTCTTCCATGCCAAGCGGTCCAACATCTGGCCGGCAGCCGGCACCGAGCAGAATGTCAGTGCCGCTAGGGTCTTTGAATTCCTCACCAAGACGTGGACGTGGTGGCTGCCCACTTGCACGGCGGCCACAGACCGCCAGCCCGGTGACCCGGAAGACCGGCTGGTGGCGGGAGGGCCTGGAGCACCGGACGAGCTGGAGATGCCGAGCAAGTTCGGGGTGAATGACTAGGTGGTCACTGAAAAGCGGGGCAGAGGCACAGCCAGAGCGGGGCGATCAGCTGCCACTGGCGCCCGCACCTCCCACCAGCGTGCGAGACTCGGCGCGCGGCCCATGGGGATTTGAGCTCAGGAGGCATCGCACACCAAGGGCAGCAGCCTTCCTTTCCGCTGACCCCACTCGCGAGGAGCAGGACTCGCTAAACCGGAGGGCGAGGCGGGGATCCGGTTTAACTTCAGACCCTTGCTGCTGGCGCAGAAGATGCAGGTGCGGTTCCCGAACCCGGCGTGCAGGTGATCTGCATGAAGGGAGGGCCCGGCCCGGCCCAAGGCCAGGAGATCGCCACTGTGGGGAAGATCAGGCCCCCGGCAAGCAGGCAGGAATCGCAGATTGGCACTGAGCCTGAGCTTCTGCCCACTCGCGGCGAGAAGAAACGGGCTCGACTCCCCATTTCCACGAACTGTGAGGTGGCCTCAAGGTGCGCTCCTTGGAGGTGTTTGAGCTGAAGTTGAACTACAGCGACCACGATGCCATCAAATGGGTGCGCTTCGCTGGCCGCAGTGGCATTTATGAAACCCGCTGCCAGCTGCCTAGCGACAACCAGCCCAGCTCCCACCCACCCTCCAGCCCGGGGACCCCGCGTCACCACGCATCAGTGTCTCCTCCCCTCCCGCTGTGCTGCCTTCCCTCTGCACCAGCCCAAGTCTAGGTCTGGACAAAGCAAGCCGGACCGGCAGGGCAGCGCCCGGGCTCCGCAACAGGGTAGTTTCTGGGGCTCCTGCTCTTCCATCCGTCCATCTGTCCGGGCCCAGGGCCAGACTCTGAGTTCTGTGACCAAAGCCAGACGGGGCCCTCTCCTCCTCACCTCTGGAGTGGGAAGCTCGGCTGCCCCTCACCTCTGAGCCCCCCCCCCGAAGGCCAGTAACAGATCCCCAGTCCTCAGACCCTACTCTGCTGTGGGATAGTGTGAGCTTCATTTTGTGCACATGTGACATCATCCAGTTATAAAACAAAGAAATTCTGTAGAGTGGGGAAAAAAAAAGAATTACACATACGGGGCTCAGTGATACAGCATTTGTGTGCCCAAGGCCCTGGGTTTGATCCCAGCATAGGAGAAGAAGGGGAAGCGGGGAGGAGGAGGAGGAGGAGGAGGAAGAGGAGGAGGAAGGGGGAGGAGGGGGAGGAACAGGAAGAGGAGGAGGAAAAAGAGGAGGAGGAGGAGAGGAGGAAGAAAAGGAGGGAGTAAATATGGATCTATGACTTCTGTGTGTGTGAGAGAGAAAGCAGGGACAGAGAGAGAAAGAATGTGTGGACACACAAGGGCTTCAAAATAACTCCAGAAGGAAAGACCCTCAAGTGTTAAAAGAGGTTATACTGGATGAGTAGAAATCGGGGTGTTTTTATATTTTCTCGTTCATCTCTATTTTCTAAAATTTTTTATAATGAGTATATAATGCTTTCGCAATAAGGAAACCACAATAAGAAAATAAATCTCACTTAGAGGAAAACAAAACAAAACAAAACAGAAAACAGCAATTTCCTCATTTTTACCTAAACTGTTAGCGTGAGAAACACTGCTCCATACCTTCCGGCCAGCTCCTCTGGCAATCGTCTTGGAACCAAGGCTTTGTCCAGCTGAATCTCCAACACAATGTATGTCCCCGCTTCTAGATACTGCTGTAAAGACATTTTTCTTATTTATTTCCAGAAAAAAAGATACTTATGAAAAAAATCTAATAACATAAGACAATGTACAGAGAAAATATGTATATAACCACATATCTAGAAGAATCTCAATTATTAACATATTTTTTACATAGAAAAGTAATTGGAAAGACATATAGCAACAATGGTTTTATCTTAGAGGAAAAAGTTTTCACTTTTATTCTGGAAAATTTCTACCTCAGTTGAAGTCATGCTAAACATGTTCATAGTTCTTTCCTTGGAACTGGTTTTTTGTTGTTCTTTGTTTGTGACAGGTTGTTGTTATGTATTTCAGGCTGGCCTTGAACTTGCTATGTAGCCCAGGCTGGCCTTGAACTTGTGATTCTCCTGCCTCAGCCTCCTGAGTGTGGAATTACAGGTATACTGCCTTGGAACTGTTTGTTTTTGTTTGTTTGTTTGTTTGGTACTGGGGATTGAATTTAAAACCTTGTGCTTGCAAGGCAGGTGGTGGCACCACTGAGCTAAATGCCTGGCCCTCCTTGGAACTATTTTAATTGAATGCCATTCTTTCTTCCACAAACCCTGTTCCATGAGTGCTACAGAAATATTTACAACCTTCTTATATTTCCAGTCAGCCTCCCGACCACTGTCCACCAACTCTGACTACTGAACACAGATTTTTTGCCAGGACCCTAAGTATACCATATGTACATTTCTCATTTTTCCCATATCAGCTCTGTTGACTTCTCTCTTAATGGCACTGCCGCCATTACAGAAAGTGAGGCTTGGAACCAAGAACCCCAAATTGTCCTAGTTCCAAACACCTCGCCTCTACTGGTTTCTAACTCTTATTACCACCCCTGCCCTGAATCAAACTGTCCTCAACAATCATCTGCACTACAAAAAAAGTACGTGAAGCCCAAAGCACCTTCAGTCTCTTTTATACCCTTGCAAGAATTCTGCGGGCCTGGGATTTAGCTCAGTGGCACAACAGCTGCCTCACAAGCACAAGGTCCTGAGTTCAATCCCTGGTACCCCCCCCCAAATTCTGTCTGCAACATATGAGGTCTTATTTTTACATGACTTAAAAACTTCTGGCGTGAGTCTCCCAGATGAGGCTGGAGTCCTCACCAGCTGTGAAATAAAGCCCAAACTTTTTAGCAAGCCCTTCACGTTTTTCAATAACACAACTGCCTCGCTCTTCCTTCACACCTCTTTGTACAACCTTTCCTTTCTTTCCATTCCGATATATCAAAACACTGAACTGACGGAAACACCTTAAATTCTGCTTTTGTAAATTGTTTGTGCTTTGAATCACGCTGTTCCCTGACCTGGAAATGCCTCTCCCTTCATCTTTGCCTGGCAGAGTGCTCTTTATCATTCACTTTGTAGTTCAGTGGTCACCTCTTCCACAAGGCCTTCTCTGAGGTGGCCCCATCCTGACCTACGTTCCTCCCTGCGTCCTGAGCACCCACAGAAGTCATATTTGTACCTCTACTCCAGCACTCAGTGCAATTAGATATCATGACTAGTTATGTGCTACCTGTTTCTGCTACCATACAGCTGAGTGTCCTGAGACAGATAAATAAATGCTGGAGCTGACGTATCTTTACATCCTGCATAGCAGAATTAATGCGAGGCATAAACTTTTAATGCTGAAGCAACCTTAAAGATAATCAGGTACCAACTCACTTTACAGAATCTCAACAAAACAAATGTTCCCGAGCTCCTGGGCGAACATGGTACAGTAACACAGATGCTCTGCCCTGAGCATCTTCCACTCTAGCTGTCTTGCTCAGTAAAGATCTGATAAACTTAAACTCAATTTTCCAAACCTTTCTGCATAGTTACCTGTCCTTCCGGATTGTGGCTTAGCGGGGGTTCGCCTTCCACAGGAGTATCTGAGCTCTGAGATTTTACACTAGAAACTTGCTGCAAGAAAGTTAACATACATCAAAAACAGAATTTATACACAGTTTTCAAATGGGATCGACAGCGATCATTGTTACTTCAAAAGAGACTACAAGGTTACTGCCCACCAGATGAGAAATCAGCACAAATCTCTGGGGTGTAAGGGGATCGCCTTCTCTATGACCTACCACATCACCAGGCTTAAGTTTTCCATCTGTGTCCTTCTCCTTGACTGCTTTGTCTTCTTTCAGTGTCTTAGAAACAACTGATTTGGGCACTGGAGAATTAACTGCTCCTGTTTTATTATTCTGAATCAAATGATGCCCAGTATCCCGGAACAAGCTGAATAAACATTTGGTCTGGAAAGAAATAAAAAATGCAATGAATCACAGGCAAGTGAAACAAAGTTGAAAGCACTGTGTGATCTTTTCCACATAATTTCTACATTGCAGAATCATAGAAAGGACTTGAAAAACTCCACTGTATTTCCCTTCTTCTACAACATGCAAAAAAGAACACCATGGAAAGTTAGCTGCCTACCCTACACGAAGTCTTAAGAGAAAACCATACAACCCATCTTGATTCAGGAGTCTCATAACTCTTGTCATCAGAAAACAATTAATCCAGCCAGGGATTAAACTCAGTGATTCTACTGCCTGCCTGCCTTGAAAGCGCAAATTAATGTAGCGGGGGTGGGGCTGGGGTGGAGGGTGGGGGCGTGTGCCTGTAATTCCAGCCCTCTAGGAGACTGGGGCAGGAGGATACAAGCTCAGATTCAAGCACAGCCTGGGAAATTTACTGAGATCCTGTCTCAAAATAAAAAATAAAAAAAGGCTATGGTTTGCAGCTCAGTGTGAAGGCCTGGGTTCAACCTCCAGTACCACAAAAAAGAAAATGTTTCATCTTTGACACATAATTTCAAATTAACTTTAAGTGGTAGAACTTATTTCTGTATAAGAAATTGTATTGGCCTAATGACTACTTGCCTATCAATTATAGTTAGAAAATAAGGCAAAGTTAAAGTTCAAAGCAAAACCTTGGCATGGGCCAGACTCTAGGTAAGTGACTAGAAAGGAGTTTTATAACTATGTTTTACTTAAACAACATGGGTCATTCACGAAATAATTTAGGCTAAGTGAAGAAAATTCAGGCACTCTCCCCACAGGTATGTGCTACAAGTCCCAGGTTCAGTATCCTGACTGTGATGATAATTTTACAGATGTGTGTATATGTGTGTGTGTGTGTGTGTGTGTGTGTACCAAAACTTTAAAATTGTACATGTTAAATACATGCAGTTTGCTATTTGTTAATGATGCATCAATAACACTGTTAAAAAGACAATCTGACAAAGAAAAATTGTGAGTACTAAAAATCACTCACAATCATCCCATCAATCATAATTACTGTATTTCACAGATGGAAATTTCTTTGAAAAATTTTTCAGAGACACAAATTTTTAAAAACTTTCTCAACTCTGGAATAAGCTGTACCATGAGACTATTTTGTATAAGTGACATTGTGCATGTCCTGTCTTCTTTCACTTAACATGTTTTTTGAGGTTCATCTGTGTTATAGCCTGTGTCATTGGTTGATGCCTTTTTGAAATTTTTATTTATTTATTTTGAAGGGGTACTGGGGATTGAACTTGGGTCCTTGCACTTGCGAGGCAGGTGACAGAACCACTGAGCTAAATCCCCAGCCCACATGCCTTTTTTTTTTTAACAAAAAGCACAATTTTGGGGATATATTTCACTTTTCATACAATTTACTCATTCAAATACACAATGATTTTGGGATATTATAATATTAGTAATTATTTCCTGTTTCACTATTAAATAGTATTCCCATATACAGAGATACCACATTTTGTTTATCCATTCACTGGCAACAGACCTTTGGATGGCCGCAAGATTTTACTTTTTTTTTTTTTTTTTTTTTTTTTTTTTTTGGTACTGGGGATCAAACTCAGGACCTTGCACTTGCGAGGCCGGCACCACTGAGCTACATCCCCAGTCCATGAGTTTTTGAACACTATAGATGATGTTTCTATAAACATTTACATACATGTCTTTGTGTGCATGCCTCTTTTCATTTCTCTTGGGTAGTTCATAGGTTTGATTTGTTGGAATGTATGATAAGTTTATATTAAAAAAAGATTTTGTATATGGTTGTCTCACCAAGTATTGAGAGTAGAACACTGAAATTTCTAAATGTTATTGTCAAATTGTCCATTTTTGTTTTCAATTCTATGAGTTATTGCTTCATGTATTATGAGGTTCTTGTACTGTTATATATGTATACATTTGTAATTGCTCATTTTTTTCTGCTGCATTGATATTTTAATCATTATGACTGTAGCATTCAGAAGGCTGAGGAAGGAAGACTGAGCTCAAGACCCAGGATCTTGGGGACATTTCTTTGTTTTGTTGAGATTCTGTAAAGTGAGTTGGTACCAGATTATCTCTAAGGTTCTTTTAGCATTAAGATTTTATATCTTGCCGGGCGTGGTGGTGCACACCTGTAATTCCAGCACTTGGGAGGCTGAGGCAGGAGGATCGCTGTGAGACCAGCCTGGGCTACATAGTGAGTTCCAGGTCAGTCTCAACTACATAGTGAGACCCTGTCTCAAAAAAAAAAAGATTTCATATCTTGCATTAATTTTACTATGTGGGTACAAAGACACATCATCTTCAGGAAACAATTTACATGATCAAAAAGTCCACACTTGGGCTGGAGATTTAGCTCAGTTGTGCTGCCGCCTGCCTCACAAGCACAATGACCTGCTTTGCAAGTGCAGGGGCCTGAATTCGATCCCTGGTACCAAAAACAAAACAAAACAACAACAACAAAAAAAAAACAAGTGCAACGACCTGAGTTTGACCCGCGGTATGAAAAAAAAGTCCATACTCATAAAAACTTTTGGAATATCTATAATAGCAAAAGCTAAAAATAAGGACAGGGGTATGGGGAAAAAATAAGACCTAAGATATATCATGTAAAGGTACAAGATCCCAATGATAAATGTAACTGTATTGTTTGCTTTAAATGTATCAATAAACTTAATGGAAGACAAAACTAAAAATAAAATTAAATGTCTAATAATAGAGAAAGGCTTAGTTAATTATGGTACATAAAAATGATAGAGGATGGTGCCACCTGCCTCACAAGTGCAAGATCCTGAGTTCAATCCCTGGTACCAAATAAAATAAAATTTAAAAAAAATGGTTGAGGCTGGGCATGGTGGTGCACACCTGTAATCCCACCACTTGAGAGACTGAGGCAGGAAGATCGCCATGAGTTTGAGGCCAGCCTGGGCTACATAGCAAGACCCTGTCTCAAAACAAAACAAAAAAAAGGATAGAAAATACATTATTCATTATTCATTACTGGACAGAGGCCTAATATCTAGAATATATAAAGAACTAAAAAAATCAGACCTCCCAAAATAAAACATTCAATCAAAACTGCCCAATTCAAATGAACAGACACTTCTCAGAAGTACAAATGGCCACTAGACACATAAAAAAATGTTCAACATCTCTGGTGATTAAAGAAATCCAAATTAAAACAACACTAAGATTTCATCTAAAAAATGGCTACAACTGGGCTGGGGGATTTAGTTCACCACTTGCCTTACAAGCACAAGGTCCTGAGTTTGATCCCTGGTACCAAAAAAAAAAAAAAAAAAAAAAAAAAAAGGACAAAGGCCATCATCGAGAAATCGAATAGATAAAAATGCTGGTGAGACAGTCGGGGAGAAAGGAACCCTTGTATATTGTTGATGGGAATGCAAACTAGTACAACCACTATGGAGATTCCTCAAAGACTAAAATTAGAAATTCTTCCTGAAAGAGTGAGACATCGTGGCACAGTGATCCATGCGTACCCAGGTTTATAGCAGCACAGTTCAGAACAGCTAAATCTGGGAAGCAGCCTAACTGTCCATCACCAGATGAATGGATAAAGAAAGAATGGTGTTTATACACAATGGCATTCTACTCTGCCATGAGAAAGGTGAACTTGAGTCATTTGTAGGAAAATGGATGCACCTTGAGACTATAATGTTAAGTAAAATATATCACACAAACTTAAATATCACAGTTTCTTATATAAGACATACAAAATATAAATAAAGAGCAAAATAAAAGATAGGTAATAGAAAATAGGGAGATAGACCTTTTGTGAAAAGGAAAGGCATCAAGAGATAGAGGGATGGGGGAAGGTGGGGATTAAAAGAATTAAGATGTGTTATGTACATGCACCAACTCCCCAGGAGGAATGTAATCAGTGTGCACTGCAAACATGTGCTAAGAAAAAAATTCAAAGATAATTATTAATGCTATGTAGATATATGGAAGAATATTCAAATGTTAATATAACAAAATAAATTTTAAATGACAAATAAATATTACTCTATAGAAATAGAATTGCCTACTAAAGCTATGAATTAAGGGAAACCTTCTTAGGCTTAAAGCAACAAATTTTATCAAAGAAAAGATAGTGACTACCAAAAATGAAATGTTCTATATATATATAAAAGAAACCACCATACACAAAATCACAGTATAACTCAAAAATGACGGAAAATATTTCAAAACACATAAAAAGGTAGCTAGTGTTTATAAAACATAAAGCAGTTCTTGGAATCTAAAAAAAAAAACACTATTTTTAATGGACAAAGTACATGACACAGCAATTCACAAAATAAGTGATAATGGCCAACACATTAAAAAAAGAGACAGCCAGGAGTGGCGGTGTGCACTTGTAACACCAGCACTTGGGAGGCTGAGGCAGCACAATCAACATGAGTTCAAGGCCAGCCTAGGCTACATAGTGAGTTCAAGGACAGCCTGGAACACATAACAAGACCCTGTCTCAGAAAAACAAAAATTTTTTAAAAAAGAGAGAAAGATATTTGGCCTTATTTATTAATCAAAGAAACACAGATTTAAATAATAATAACTTATTTTATCTGTAAAGCTGGATAATTCTTCAAATATGCTAATGTCCATTACAGCAAAGATATAGTAAAACAACTTTTATTCACTGCTAGCAAAGTGTAAATTAGTATAAACTGCACGCTTAAATGCTTGTGAAATCATTACCACAATCTAATACCTGACTTTTCCGTCACCCTTAATATTTTCTTCTCATTTAATGTAATTTGTCCCTCCCTATATCCCTGACTCCAAGCAACTTTTTTTTGGGGGGTGGGTGAGACAGGGTCTCCCTACATAGCCCAGGCTGTCCTTAAACTCACAGTGATCCTCCTGCCTCAGCCCCCTGAGAGCTGGGATTACAGGGGTATGCCACCACATCCAGCTCCAAGAAACTCTTTTGGGGGGGGCAGTTTGAGACAGGGTCTCACTATGTAGTTGAGACTGAACTGGAACTCACTATGTAGTTCAGGTTGGTCTCAAACTCACAGTGATTCTCCTGCCTCAGCCTCCCAAGTGCTGGGATTACAGGCACGCACCACCATGACTGGCCCCAAGAAACTCTTTATCAGCTTTTTTTTTTTGTACAGGGATCAAACTCGGGCCCTTGCACTTGTAAGGCAGGCGGTGGAAACACTGAGTCAAATCCCAGCCCCTAATCTGCTTTCTGTCAATATAAATTACTTCCTTAAATCACATATAAATGGAACTATATAGTAGTATATACTCTTTTTAGTGTGTTTCTTTCCTTTAACACAGTGTATTTGAGATTCAGCCACACTGATGTATGCATCATTATTTCAGTCCTTTTTACTATCAAACAGCGTTCCACTGTGAGATCAATGGTTTTTCCATTCACATGTTGCTGGAGGTTTGAGCTCCACTTTTCAGCTCTGCATTTTCTCCAGGTTTCTAAGGTCCAAAGGAGAATGACTACGAGGGCCTAACGTCCTAGTAAACCAAGTGGTCTAAATATCACTTGCAAAGACATGTATGTCAAAGATGTAAGTAGAGACACAGAAGGAGTAAATTAAAATGATATCTATTTTTATTGTCTTTCTTACCTTTTCATAGACAGTAGTGTCTAGGTAAGGGTAAACGTGAAAGGCACCCCGAATCCTCCTCACACCTGGGTACAGCAGTGGGACCATGTTAATGTAAGCCACGCCATGAAACGAAAGCAGACTTTCATCTTCATTCTAAAGGAATCAAATCAGAGAGTTATTGGTGCTGAAAAGCCAGGCAGCAGATAGGATGGGGCCCTGACTCAGCAGTTCAAAGGCTCACTTTTAGGGCCCAAATCTGCTACTTTGCTAAGTACGTGCCTTCAGACCAGTCACATAGACATTTTAGGCCTCGGTTTATCTTCAAAATGGGCTTAAAATAACATGGTTACAGAGGGAATACACATAAAGTGTTAATAAATAGTAAAGGCAGTAGTTGGATCATTACATACTCAAATTACTTGAGAATACATACATTTCAACCAAAAAGTCAGTTTCGTCATGTTGCTCCTTAGTAAAAAATGAAGATATACTTTTAAAAATATTAACGATAACAAAACCTTAAAAGAAACGAGAAGCTCTGGCTCTTAGCTTTAGTTCACAGACTCATATATGAAATATGAGGGGCCTTACAAGCCCCCTGGACCAGTCATGGCCGATAGTGGAGGTGTTTTGGCATGCTTTGTTGAGAACAATTCTGTGTATTTATCTGGGTTCAGAAAAAAAAAATAATTTAACTGATTCACATTGTATTTGCAATACCTGATCTCATTTAAACTCATTGCAAAGGTGCAGAACATGTCAATAAATATATCTTTTGTTTGTTTGGTTTTTTGTTTGTTTTTTGTTTTTTTGAGACAGGGTGTCACTATGTAGTTGAGACTGACCTAGAACTCACTATGTAGCCCAGGCTGGTCTGAACACACAGTGATCCTCCTGTCTCAGCCTCCGGAGTGCTGGGATTACAGGCGCGCACCACCACGCCCGGCTTCAATAAATGTATCTTAAGGTCATTTTTAATGGTTTATAGTCTGCCGCAGAATGTTTTTGTAAGGAAAAAATGAATTTTTTGAAAAAAATACATTTACTTCCAAGCATAAAAGCAATCTTTGACTTAGCCTAGTATAATAATTAGAAACTAGATTAACTGGATTGTTTCTCTGGTGTGAGAAACTGAAAGTATCAGTGAGGATCAGAATGTATAATAGATATCGTGAAACAGAAAGAAAATGTTCAAATGGGTAAGGGAACTAGGGATGAGGGGGTGGAGAGAAGGAAGAAAGAGAGGAAGAAAATGAGAAAAGAAGGGAAAAATGGAAGCAAAGCTTTTGTTAATAAGGAGAGGTGGAGGGGTTGAAGGGAAGGGAGGAGAATGTGAAACAGAATCAAGATATATCACTTACAAGTACAAAGTCCCTACGATAATGTGATCATTATATATACCTAAAATGTACCAATAAACAATTTTTTAAAAAAGCCCTATGTTAATGAGATAATATCATGTGCTTAAGAAATTTAAAGAAAGGTAGCCAATGTATAATTATATAATAAGAAAGGAAAATGCTTCTGCTGGTAGCATTTTTATTATGCAAAAAAAGCCTATTTCAAAAGTCAGTTGAGGGCCAGGGATTTATTTCAGTGGTGTTACTGCCTGCCTCGCAGGCGCAAGGTCCCGAGTTCAATCCTCAGAACAACAACAACAAAAAAGTCAGTTGAATAATTTAGATCCTTGACAAGGACTGGCGACCTGCCACACAGCATGCTGGGTACTACAGAGGACATAATGCAATCGCTACACAACCTCAGTCTCAGGGGGTTTAGGAGCAAGTGAAAGAACCCGCTGTGCAAAGGTAGAATGACCGACAACGTGATCTAGGCTCACGGAAGCCCTGTCTTTTCAGAGCAGTAGCACATCTGTGAATTCTACTACATTCATCAGCAGCATCTAACATTTGGTAGGTGGTTCTAAAAGAAATTCAGAAAAATGTACTAGGTTGAACCGTATTGCCAATTTTAACCTTAGAAAAATAGCTCTTTCACAGTTTTGCTTACAGTAAAACTATAATGAGGGGCTAAAAGGAAATATGAAGCCTGGAAACAAAGCCTGAACAATTAGTAATGATCAACAGGGAGCAAACAATCCTGGTTTTCTTGGAACAGAAGACCTGAGACATGGGACTTTCAGTACTAAAACCATAGGCCAAAGCATCATGAGTTGGTCACCACAGAGAGACCGGAATTAGGATGCATTTTCCTTTGGTTATCAGAATTAGAAGCAGAGTAACAATTGGTCTGGTCCAGCACTTCAGCATATATATTTAACATAAATGTTTGTCTTTCTTTCTTCTTTTTTTCTTTTTCTTTCTTTCTCTTTTTTCCTTGATTTTTTTTTAAAGACAGTTTCTTAAAAAACAGACTGATGTTAAACAGCTCAAGCATCTTTCCACCTCAGCCTCCCGAGTGCTGGGATTACAGGTGTGTGCCACCACGCCCGGCTTATAAATATTTTTAAATGCACATTTTTACCTTATCAGACTTGCCAGCTTTCCCTTTGGGAACATTAATCAGAGGAACTCTTGTGATCTCTACAGGCCAAAGCCGGCAATCAGCAATTCTTTTCTGAAAGCTACAAATCAAAATATCAGCCCATGACCATTATACTAAAAAATGTGGTCAATATAACTTACAGAAAAACATTCTTTTTCTTTTAGAAATTAATATAACGCACATATAGAAAAATGTTTATCAGTTTGACAATTTTTTAAATCTTCCCACATCTGTAATACTGCCCTCATTTAGTCAGAGCGACAATGTGCCCCAACTAAAACAATTCATTTTCTAGCCTTTTCTGCATCTGGAAACAGCCAATGAGATGTAAAGTGAGACTGTCAAGTTCTATAGGAGAAGCTAAGACAGATAGGTTGGTCCTTTTTTATCCATAACCATTCCCCTCTTCCAACTTTTTGCCAGGAATGTGAACATGCAGCCTGGAACTCTAGCTGCCCTCCTGGGCCATGAGATAAATTTGTAGATAGAAGACGCATATTAAAGAAGGTAGAAGACAAAACAAGCCTGGATACTTGATGACACTGTGAGGCCCCTATACATATCAGTTTCAGACTTCTGCATGAGAAAAGTAAATGCCCACCTTAGTTACCACTAGGCACCTCTCTAACTGACACAGATGAGGTGAGAAACAAAGTCTCAAAGCACAATAATACAAATATAAAAATAAAATTATTTAAAGTTTCTTCCTACCAACAGACCTTGCTGGTTACACAGATTCCCTTCCTCTTCCTACCTGGAAACCGCATGAGGATCAAGGTAGCAGCGACTTTCCAAATCCCAAACGATCCTTTTTTTAATGTACTCTGCTTGGCTCCTGAATTCTCTGTCCTATAAAAGAATAAGACAGATTCTGTTCTCTGTGTGTGCTCTTGTTTCATACTGCTCAATCTTTTTATGGATTTGGTCATAATCTTTATTACCACTACTATGACCGCCAACGTCTAGCACCACCTTAAAATTTGAGGCACTTTATTAACAGAGTATGTAAGATAAATTACTTACGTAATCTTTATGTCAATCCAGTAGTGAGAGTCATATATTAATTCATATAACCTCAATTTGTGATTCTCAAATAGTGACACATGTCAAAATAATGTGATGGGCCGGGGATGTAGCTCAGCGGTTTGGTGGCCTGCCTTGCAAGCGCAAGGACCTGAGTTCAATCCCCGGTACCAAAAAAAAAAAAAAAAAAAAAA